ACTGAATTCCCAAAATGTTGAATCTCTTCATCGATTAAATAACTTAATAGTTCTAAGCTTAAGTTTAATTAAGAACTCAATCCTAACTTAATTAACAATAACTAGTTTATTCTATTTTTAATTAAATTAAGATCGAGTAAATTAGATTAAGGATAAAACGATTTAAATTTTAGACTTGTTTTTAATCAAAAATTATAACTTCATAGCCTAATTTTTATTCTAAATGAAGTTGTTGAAGAAATGTTATTTATATTATAAAATAGAAGTAAATAATGTATAAATTAAAGGTAAAATTTAAATAAAATAGACCTATTTACAGTATTTTTGAATACATTTTTAATACTACTAAAAAATAGGCCTGTTGTGTAACATAGGCTCATACAGCAAAATCCCAGATGTGCTATTGTTACATAAACTCTCAATTTTTTAAAATAATTGTATAATGAATTTATATTAATTATTTAATATTTATAATTAACAATAGATTTATTTTCATATATCATTTCATTCGCACTTCATAAATTCTTTTGGGAGCAGCACAATTTTGTATGCTTATGCCTTATTTAGAGTAAAATGTAGTGCCAATATCTCGATGATGTGTAGTTTATACTAATTACTAGAAACTATAAATTAAATAGCTATACTTTTTTTTATAACTGAACTTATCCTTACAATATTAGTTTTATTTTTACCCTCTGTAATGTTATTAATTGCATAGGGCCTGTTGTCTCTTGCATTTAAGGATAAGTCTGTATAGATTTTAAACAATCTAAAGCTTTATTTAAGTTTAAAATAAGTTAATTAGCTATCAACTAATGACTTATGACAATTTAGTAGAATCATTATACAACTGTGCTGTAAATTTAACATATTATTCACTTCATAAAGTATCCTATCCGGTTACGCTGCTGGAGAATGAAACTGAATAACGTATATATTTAGTAGTCTCAATAAAATACAATTTTCTAAGATTATTTATTATTTAGTAGGCCTACTTAAGTTTTTATTTATTATAATTTAACAAAAATTAAACACAATTTGATATTATTTTAGCTTACATTAATCCTATCATCATTGATGCCTCGATCATTGGAGAAAACTAACTTTATAGATTAAGATAAAGCATTGATTTAATTTAAATGTTTCTTAATTACTTAATAAAAATAGTAGTTTATAGATCAACGCTTACATTTATACTTATTATAATTTAAATGTAAAGAATGCTTGCAATAGTGCTTATATAGTAATAGTCTAAGGACGTTTAAGATAAAAAAAAACTCCATTTTGATCTTATTAAAAGTCTAACCACTACTTTTAACCTGCATCATTCTTCGAAAAGGACAGTCCATAACCTAATAGGATTCGTCACAGTTCTCGATAGGAGGTTTACAATAGGTTAGAAGGTCCGTGATTCAGCAGATCGAGCGAGAGAAGCCAAGATTAGATTATCTTTGTATTTATGAGGGTCTTTTGTCCGATGTTCAACGATACAAGTGTTAGCTTCAATATCCGGAATTAATCGTTAATTTTCCGGACTTTTTTCTGCGACATCCCCGTCTTGGACGTACCAAATGTGAGAACGCACGACGTGGGGGTGACGGATATGCTCCGTTGGACTCCCAGGACACGCTTGGCTGCTACCTCGACTTATGACAACGAATGGTTGCGTAGCGTTTTCAAGAGGGTTGATGAGACGCATTCAGATCCTTAACACAATTACCGCCTAGGCCCAATTTGACTAACACGGCTGATTCACTCGAAAAGAAAAACACCTGCTAATTTCGGGCCCACTTTAAAATGTATTTTTCACAGAATATCCATATACAGTAGCTTGAATTAAAGCCAACTATTCGAAACGTTAGAAATTGATACAATACTTGCACAAGTCGGAACATATGCTTCAACTCATCTTCAATAAATTTTTAAATGATAACTTAAAAAATATAACTCAGATGTAAACAATAAATAATACAGATAGGATCCTGAATAAACTAAATCTGTAGTTTTCTTTTCCTTGAATAAAAAACAACCTGGGATCTTAATAGTTCTGATGGAAAATTATAAACTTAATTTTCGATAATACTAAATTACTAAATAAAATAAAATTATCAGTCAATCATAGCATTATCTCATCTCGGAATTATCTTTTATCCGTTCTTAATGAAATACTTTAAAATTTAAAAGTAGTTTAATAGATTTAATAACTTATAAAATAATTTAAATTTTTGATTTTCTTAATAAAATATTTCATGAAATTCTCAGTAGAAGAGTTTATAAACTTTCTATTGACAAGTTGACGTAGGCGATTGATTTTATAAATTAAATTTCAACGTGTCACTAAAAGACTTTACTTAATGATTTCCGTAATTGCTTTCATTTATCAAAGTTTTGTTTCAGATCACACGTTAATCTATGCGCTGTCCATCTTCACTTAAGTGACTTTTGCATTTAACTAAGAGGTGGGAAAGTAGAAAAATAATCAAAGATTTTAGTAATGTGGCATCCGTATACTTCTCTTGGGAACTACTGCTTATCGTTCAACAACTTCTCCTCAATCAAGGATAAACCGGTAAAAACGTTGATCAATGCTGTCAGGAACTTATATCGGATTTCTAAACAAAGATAGAGCTAAAGTTTAGAAGAACTAAGAAAGTATTTCCATTGTTTCCAGCTTCAATTGACCGAATTTTTTTTCAATTCGTAGCTCTAAATTCAAATTTTAATTACCTTCAACATTAATAAGAACATATAAAAAGAAACACAATTAAAATAAATTATTATTAGTTGGTTGTATTTAATTTAAATGAAAAGAAAAAAAATAAACGAACTTTAGTGATTTTATCTATTTCTTACAGATCCTAATTATATTTGCATGTAACTGAATACTAATTTGAAAAGGACCAATAGGCTTCGAGATAAGAAAGTAAATTTGACTTTCTATAGAACTTATCGTTACAACGGAGCATACAAAGAGCATATTTCTGACAGGATCCTAATATATCTAATTCGAAAGCCGATAGAAGAGAAGATAACGTGGTTAATTTGACGATTTCTCTTCCAAATTCTAGGCTTGGAAAATCGATTATAAACACAAGATATAAGGCCTAGCAGTGCGTGGAGGAGACATCAATGGTCGCAGATGTCGGAGATCTTCTCTCTATACATCACTGTCTAATGGACTAACGGTAGCGTTTAAACAGTGGACGGTATTGTTGTAAAGCTGCCACTCACTCTATTCGGTGTGTCCAATCAATGAATTATGCTGGCTACAGGCAGCATAACAAATAGGCCAGCAATTATGCCGAATTTAACACAACGAGTTATAAATGCGATAAAACACATCTAAGTTTTCTCTTTGTCAGAAAATGTCAGTCCATAATCACTAGTTATCAATAAAAGTAATTGTAATTCTGACTAAAAATAATTATTTGACTTTATCTTTTGTTCAAAATTAAAGTTTCTTTTTACTAAGAATTTAAGCCTGATAGTCTATAAGATATGTCGAACAACTATTCTCATACAAACAGCCAATAACATCTGCCTCTACTAGTCAATCATTGATGGCTCCTTTTTCACCTGTCTAAAATATCATCTTATACACCTGGCTCAATAGTAATTTTAGAAAGCTCACTCTATAGGCCCAGCTTTATCCTTTAATGAAATATCAGCTTTTAAATCTGAAAATTTTTTTTAAAAAAAGGAAATATTGATGTCAAGAGGAAAAATCGTTAACATAACAGAATTAAAAATCGAACCACACAATATACTACACTACACTTTTTAATATATACTGCACATTATATTGTACTCAGATTAACCAATAGACTAATAAGATAAATGTCTATGGCCCGTAATTCCGAAGGACCCGGCTTCTTATATGTCTTTCGTTACACCAGAAACTCTTATTAAACAATTAATATTATATTAGTGTTTGTATTCTCTATTATTAACAAAAAAAAAGTTTAAAATGACATTATTTAATATTTCTTTAAAAGCAACTTATTTAAATGGGGCCCAATTTAAATTTTGTCTAGGGCCCGCTAGAGACTTAATCCAACACTGATTGTACTGTACTTATACACTGATTAATGTACTGTACAGCTAATTCAGAGAATTTCTAAAGAAAATGCAAATATATAAGTTTTTTGAAGGTTTTAAGCAACACTTTTCAACTCATTCGGTATTTGAATAATGCGAAACACTAAAAATTTAATTGATATTGTAAAATTATGAAAATTGATAGTTAAATCTAGAATCTAAGTTATAAAATAGGACATTTAACTTATTAGTAAGAAACTATTTAAGATTTATATACAATCAAATGGAAGAGAATACAGGTTATTTACATATAATAATATAGAAAGGATTCATAAACCAACAAATGATAACTATAGCTGATGTGTGAGAATTTCTATGATGTTAAATAAGCTCTTCTATCTTTAATATATCTTTTATTATAATTACAGAGCCTCGGGTTATGCAGTAAGACATGCAAGTGCCGTAACTTTTTTTTTTTACATCGTTATCAACGTCTTATTTGTATACATTTTTTACTGAGTTCATTTGACAGAATGAATGTCAGGAGAAGAGATTAATTACTTGATATTTAGATTCTTCTTAATATTTTGGCATTCTTAAATCGAATACACTATTTATAAACTATATTCGTCGAGCTATATATAAAAATCTGTATCTTTTAAGTCTTTAAATAATACTATTAATTTATTAAAATGAATTAAATAAATAAATATAAGATGTCGTAAATTTACAACTAAACTATAACATATTTACGACTTAAATTTAAAAATATAAATGAACTCATGTTTACTTAGGTTTAATGATGTTTGTGCAGACATACATTTTGAGTTAGAAATAACATTAATAAAATAAATTAATTTCTTTAAAATTTGAAGAGTTTTTACAAGGGCGCACAGTATCTTTAGCTCTCTTTTATGAGAGAGATGAAGATACGTAGGCCTATTTAGATATGAAAAACTAACCTGCCAGATTTTGTTATAATCATTTCAGTTCCTAATTCGTGGAATTTCTCCCATAGCTCCTTGTTTTCTAAGTGGCATTCTGATTTTTTCAAACTATCGCTGTTACATCGAGGTTTTAATGCATCGGTATAAGGATTTATAACTGTCTTTCCCACAGATTCAGCATTGTCCTCGCTATCGGATCTGCTATCTTCTACACAAGTACGTTCCGATTCAAAAATCGTTGGAGAAGTAGCGGGACTACAGATCGGACTAGCTTCTTCCTTTTCTGGATAATCGACCGGCCATAAACCCACTTCGGATAATCCTAAAAGAAAACACAAATATAAAACTTAATTATGATATATATTATTGAAAATCTGGCAGGTTTTATGAGAAACTTTATAATAAATATGTGGGAAAATTAACATCATAATTCAGGGTTCTACTAATTAAACCTATTCTTAATACTTGTTTTTTTAAAGTCTTTCGTACGTTTAGGCTAATTGTTTGATACAATAAAGAGAGATTCAAACAAGATTTTCCACAATTAATTGACGTATTACATAAAATAAATTAATAAATAATTTACAAATTTTTAAAATAAAAATATGTATTTATGTGTAAGCAGGCCTATGTCTAATGAAGTCTTGGAACTAGATAAATGTGAAACTCGTAATTAAACTTTAAAATATACTAACAAATAAAAGATTACAACTAAGTAAAGTAATTAAACATAGGCTACTACAGTTATATATAATATTGTTGAAATTTTAAGAAAATTAAAGATGATATTAAGCTAAACTTCGTCTCGAAATGCATTTAAATTTTATACCACAAACCTTTCAATTTTACCGAATTTACAGGAATATATTTTGGTAGATTAAAGTTAAATAAAATAAGTAAATAAATAAAAATGTAAACTTTTCATAACAATATTCAAACTGTATTTTACGTTAACAAAAATTACGAATAAATTCGATATAATAGAAACAATAATATTTGGAGAACCAATTGAACTTATCTTGAATGGGATCTGTTCGGTCAGAGCTCATATCATCCTCTTGAAATGATTGATTCTCTTATAATTTCAGATAGAAGTCCTCTTTCTTTTGTTGTCAGAGATCATTTATATATCTCGAACTTGTTCGGTTTTGTCACATATCATACTACATTATTATCATTTAATATATATATTATAGCTATTTCTTCTATAGAAAATATAATACGAATTGATTTAATAGCAAGATTTTTTTGCCGTTTTACAAACAAAGGCTTAAATTAAGGGGAGTTAATCTACTTTAATGCTCAAAATTTTATAATTATCTCCCTTATAAATGTTTCTGCAGAATTAAAAATATATTTTAAAAAAAAGTAGTATTTTTGTTATATATCTTTCTGCAGTTCATATAATGTTAAAGCAATAAAAATATTCGTCTATCCGAAATAAAAACATTGATTTGTATGGAATGCAAAATTACATTCCCTCGGGCAGACGCATATAAAATCTATTTACAAGTGTAGATAGTAAATAATAAAATACTTTATTAAAATTTCAATAAATTGATTTATATGAAGGCGTGATTGCTTATTAAAATTAATCTATAAGCGGTAAATATCTACATGCTTTCGGTATTCTCGCAATTTTAATTAAATTATACATGTGTTTAAAATTAAAATTAATTGATTTTTTTTTTTTAAATAATATTCTCGATTTTATAAACAGAATTTTTTAATTTTATTTTAAAAGTTGAGCAGAAGCTAATTTTAATTAAATTCAGAGTGAAATCTCCGTTCGAATTTTGTTTACACTTATAAAAACAATTAAATTCTCTTCGAACTTTAATGGAATTTCATAAATAATCATTTTAATTTAGTTTTAAAACATAAATTAAGATTAAAAATACATTTTTTGTTACGATTCCGATACCTAAATCTAGTTAAACTTCAGGCCAATAAATAATAATGATGGCCTAATCATAACATTGCCCAATTTCTCATCTCATCAATGTTTTCAGGAAAAAATTACCATCATTTTTCGTTAATTCGATCAAAATTACACAATATTGCTAGCAATTTTCCGCAAATTATCTTCCTATGACATTAGATTTTTTTTATTCATTAAAATTTATAAATCCTTTTTTTTCAAAATAAATAAATAAATAAATTCCACTTATTGTAAAGTTTAACTAAATAATTCGAATAAAAAATAAATAAGTTCGTTTTTTTGTTAAAATTGCATAAGATGAAAGCTTAATATAGAAAAAAAATAAGGTTAAAATATAGAGCCGTGTTTCTTGATAAATTATAACTTAATTTAACTGGAGTTTTTGTCAACGTAGTTGACATTTAATATTTTCGATATTCGGTGACAATATATTGTCAGCTTTAGTTTAAATCCTATTTTATCTTTAAGGCGTGTAGGCCTGCTCTTCGTGGTTACTATATAATTACATTTAGTTTAACAGCGTACTTAATATTGGTCAAGGTGCATTACTAGTCCAAAATATCAGTGAAATTTAATCAATTATTAAATTAATTATAAACTAGGTTATTATTCTAAATAAGATAATTTTATAAGGAAATCGTTAAAAATTCATTAATACATCTTCCTTATAAGTTGTTAAAGGCTTCGATGTTACGAAATTAATCGCGAATTTACATGTAAATTGTGAAATTTCTGAGCTTTTTATCTTTTATATAATATATAAATCGACATTTAGGAATTTAATTGTTTTCTTAACGTTTTAATTATGTTTTAAGGAACTTAATTCGATTTGCGACGATTTCCTTCTTAAGAAAATAAGTTTATAAAGTAAATTATTTGCATAATTACGATTTTAAAGGGGAAAAATTATTATTTTAAATTGTTTTAAAATTCAAAATTAACCAATAATGGTTTAAAATTCGATTTTTTTTTTTATGTATTAATAGCTTAAATGGAACTTTATCTGCGTGAAGATGCAATTGAGATTACAAAGACTCGGGCGACTTAAAGAACTGCCAAAAACATTCAAGTACATTTAAGGAACCATTGCCAATCAGATAAAACATGAGTAGAAAAGGGTAATGTGTAGGTAGCGATCCGTGCAAGAGAAGGGAGAAGTACCTGTCTCACTCAATCTTCTTGTAGCTGCAAATAGGACAGATGGGTCTGTGGCGAGCGCTCTTCTATGCCACTTCTTCAATTTGTTTAATGGTTTCTCCACCTAGCCTACCTTTAAAAATGGTTAAATTCAGCATATCTGGTAAACTTAGCCTGTTTTCCTTATTATAATAGACTAAGTTCCTATGATTTAAGATTCAAAACGTAGACTTTAATTTTTACTGATTTTTTCCTGTGTTTTCCTTCGCAGCCACTAAAAATCAATGCTTTTAAAGTTATGCTTTTTTTTAAAAAAATAATTTATTTAGAATTCTATTCTTTTCTTTTTTGAAATTTGACATAGGTCTTATTTTTATTCCGTAAATAATTACACTTGTCAACGAGAAATTGCTTACTTAATTGCACGCTTCTAAATTTGAATATAATCATGATTTTATTAATGAAGAAGCAAAACTAATATATATATAATATAGGCCTAATATTATAACCAAAATTACCAGTTAAGTAATTAATGGCAATACTGAAGGAGAAACTTTGACTATTAAACTTTCCAATGTAAATGCTGGCAATCTGGATTAGATTTGAAGCATGTGTCCCACATTAAATCAAATTACTCGTGCAAGAAATTCTCCTCAAATATGAAATAATTCATAATTTCGCTTTCAACTTAAAAAAAATTTGAAAATTTTTATAGTAAAGCTTCCGAAAATAGCAGAAGATATTCTAATATTTCTGAATTTTATATTGCTTATTTAAAAAATTTGACTAGACTATGATAACAGCATTATTAATTAATATAATATTAAGATAAATTAAGAAAATCAATAAGATCTTTGATAAAAGCATTAGAAAGCATTTTATGATGTTTACGCTTATGAATTTTAAATAAATGCAAGACTGATCTTCTTATTATAAAAAATAATCTTATAATTATATTATTATAAGCATCATTAATAAATTTATAATTAATTACACTTCTTATCTTAGTATAAACCGTAAGATACAAGTCATACATTATATTAAATTTAGAACAAATTTTCGTTTATAGAATTTAATTTAAATTTATGCCGTAAATTATAAATAATTATACAAAAGTAACACATTTTTCTATTTATTACGGACATGTAGGCCTGTTTAAGCAGAGTTTTTAAGTTCCCGAGCGTGTAGTTTAATAACAGTTATGGATTTCAAATATCAGAATTTAGCCTTTAGGCTTGACTCGATCTAATTATAAATGAGATTTTAAGTCATAAATACGTTTTTGAATGCAAAACAAGGCACTAAAACTAAAATGGGTTATAGAAGCCGGTCGTTTTAAAAATAAGTTTTAGGTCTCGTATACACAAATTTGATATTTTACATGTAACTGTGAATATGAATTATTTGCAAGTCACTTATTAGTGACCCACTGTGAAGTGATGAAAGAGTTGCGCAGCACGTCACCGAATTTTAATAGGTGTTGACAATCTGCAAACACAGACACGGCTTGTTTGTTAAGAACAATGTTGCCTATCATCACCCACATACTCTTAGGCTTATATTAGCACTGCTTTCCAGAAACAAATGCAATATTACAAATATCTTGCATACTTACTTATATATCATTGTAACAATCTCAATCTAAACCTTTTATATATACAGGCCTACAGATTACAAGCAATTCTACTATTATTTTCATTCATAACTTCTCGCTTATCTTTGAAGAAACAAATTAATGCCTTAATCAATTTATAGTGTTTAATCTGCCTATTTTAAAGCCCTATATTAATTAAATCACGAAGTATTTGGGAGTTTACGTAATTATTTAATAAATTTGAAGCAAATTATAACTTAGAATATATTATTTAAAGTCTGTACTTATAATATCTTAATGAAAATTATTATTTGTTTAAAAAAATTAATAATAATAATTCGGCTCTTCATTAAACTCACTCAACAGAAAATTATAGAAATCTGTTTAATATGTTAAAAGAAATTTGCTTAATTTCTTGATATAATAAACTTATTTGATTTCCTAACTAGATCTAAATCGGTCAAATTATTAATTTGCCTGTCGGATTTAATTAAAATGACAAGTAAATGATTGTAATATTTTAATTCAATATTTACTTAAAGCGAATGTATTTAAAAGCATTTATAAATTGAGAATAAATTTTTATCCTTTAAAATTTTAATTAACATCGATTAAAGTTTTAAATAAACTAAAAATATAGGTTTAGATATGAATTATTCTTATAACTAGATGTTATTAATGTTTCTTATCAGATAGTGGATCCTGTATTTTTGTTTAATATTGTATGCCTGATATTTCAGGATTCGATAAAATAATTCATACATTTTTAAGATCTTCTTATCTAAATAAAATAGTTTTTTTTTTTAAAGTTTTAGTTAATAGCATATTAAAATATTTAAATATTAGTTTCAAAACGATTCATTATAAAGCAAAACTCGATCTGGTAAATTTATACTAATTCAGACTACTCGGAATTTTTAGATTTACAATAGATTAAACTTTCTGAGTTTAATTCACGAAAGACTCACGGCACGGGGCCTATTAATATTTTATTGCAATTGTAGATTTAAATAATTAATACAGAAATTCGGAGTAAAATCTTATTTAGATTAGACAAAGTACGGTAGAAAGCACACATGAAAATTTTCCAGAATGATTATTGAATGGCACAATGTTCCATTCCCATTAAGGCTGTCGATTTAAACTAAATGAGGTCTAAATATGAAGGTTTAATTCATTTTAAGAATGAGAAAAAGACTCACCTGTGGGGAGAGAGGCCTCATCAAGTTCCTTCTCGGCCGGTTTTTCTTTAGCCATAATCGCCGCTATAGAAAAATCGGTGGCTTTGGTCACCACACCTTTCGTCAGAGACGACTGCATGTTGCAGATTACGGTTTAAAATCTGCNAAGTTTTAGTTAATAGCATATTAAAATATTTAAATATTAGTTTCAAAACGATTCATTATAAAGCAAAACTCGATCTGGTAAATTTATACTAATTCAGACTACTCGGAATTTTTAGATTTACAATAGATTAAACTTTCTGAGTTTAATTCACGAAAGACTCACGGCACGGGGCCTATTAATATTTTATTGCAATTGTAGATTTAAATAATTAATACAGAAATTCGGAGTAAAATCTTATTTAGATTAGACAAAGTACGGTAGAAAGCACACATGAAAATTTTCCAGAATGATTATTGAATGGCACAATGTTCCATTCCCATTAAGGCTGTCGATTTAAACTAAATGAGGTCTAAATATGAAGGTTTAATTCATTTTAAGAATGAGAAAAAGACTCACCTGTGGGGAGAGAGGCCTCATCAAGTTCCTTCTCGGCCGGTTTTTCTTTAGCCATAATCGCCGCTATAGAAAAATCGGTGGCTTTGGTCACCACACCTTTCGTCAGAGACGACTGCATGTTGCAGATTACGGTTTAAAATCTGCTGTAATCACAAAGAAGAAGCATTTTTTGAGGATTTACATTCGAATCCCTAAAGGTAAATCGTCTATCACGTGTCAGGAGAAAGTTTCAAAGTTGCAGCTCCGAGAGTAGATGTTGCTGTAACGGAGGTTGCCGTAACGAAGTGTCAGGCCATCCACCAGCCATCGAAACAGACAAATAGGCGGAGAAGTGCAGCCAATCAGAAGCTGTACATGTTTCGGTCAATCCCTTGGGGTGGAGTTGAATCAAAATACAAATGTGCATCCCGGTTTGTGGTTAATTACATCTGTTGTGATTACGTCACTTTTTAGGGTAATTAACTCGTAGTTTGAATTGTAGGGATTTTTATTTTAAATTAATAGCTTTATCGGGCATTAAGAGATTTTTACTGCACGGGAGGTGATTAAAACTCTGCTTCAGAATATCATACCGCTTCGTTCTTAGTTTATTTTATTTACAAATAAATTCTTAATTAAACATTTAAAAGTCAAGATCGATACGTGCTCGAATTAGTTGGAATCTTTGGATTTTTAAATATATTATTTTATCGATTTATATATTTTCAACTGATTTTAAATGTATGTCTTTTTTGAAATTTGACATAGGTCTTATTTTTATTCCGTAAATAATTACACTTGTCAACGAGAAATTGCTTACTTAATTGCACGCTTCTAAATTTGAATATAATCATGATTTTATTAATGAAGAAGCAAAACTAATATATATATAATATAGGCCTAATATTATAACCAAAATTACCAGTTAAGTAATTAATGGCAATACTGAAGGAGAAACTTTGACTATTAAACTTTCCAATGTAAATGCTGGCAATCTGGATTAGATTTGAAGCATGTGTCCCACATTAAATCAAATTACTCGTGCAAGAAATTCTCCTCAAATATGAAATAATTCATAATTTCGCTTTCAACTTAAAAAAAATTTGAAAATTTTTATAGTAAAGCTTCCGAAAATAGCAGAAGATATTCTAATATTTCTGAATTTTATATTGCTTATTTAAAAAATTTGACTAGACTATGATAACAGCATTATTAATTAATATAATATTAAGATAAATTAAGAAAATCAATAAGATCTTTGATAAAAGCATTAGAAAGCATTTTATGATGTTTACGCTTATGAATTTTAAATAAATGCAAGACTGATCTTCTTATTATAAAAAATAATCTTATAATTATATTATTATAAGCATCATTAATAAATTTATAATTAATTACACTTCTTATCTTAGTATAAACCGTAAGATACAAGTCATACATTATATTAAATTTAGAACAAATTTTCGTTTATAGAATTTAATTTAAATTTATGCCGTAAATTATAAATAATTATACAAAAGTAACACATTTTTCTATTTATTACGGACATGTAGGCCTGTTTAAGCAGAGTTTTTAAGTTCCCGAGCGTGTAGTTTAATAACAGTTATGGATTTCAAATATCAGAATTTAGCCTTTAGGCTTGACTCGATCTAATTATAAATGAGATTTTAAGTCATAAATACGTTTTTGAATGCAAAACAAGGCACTAAAACTAAAATGGGTTATAGAAGCCGGTCGTTTTAAAAATAAGTTTTAGGTCTCGTATACACAAATTTGATATTTTACATGTAACTGTGAATATGAATTATTTGCAAGTCACTTATTAGTGACCCACTGTGAAGTGATGAAAGAGTTGCGCAGCACGTCACCGAATTTTAATAGGTGTTGACAATCTGCAAACACAGACACGGCTTGTTTGTTAAGAACAATGTTGCCTATCATCACCCACATACTCTTAGGCTTATATTAGCACTGCTTTCCAGAAACAAATGCAATATTACAAATATCTTGCATACTTACTTATATATCATTGTAACAATCTCAATCTAAACCTTTTATATATACAGGCCTACAGATTACAAGCAATTCTACTATTATTTTCATTCATAACTTCTCGCTTATCTTTGAAGAAACAAATTAATGCCTTAATCAATTTATAGTGTTTAATCTGCCTATTTTAAAGCCCTATATTAATTAAATCACGAAGTATTTGGGAGTTTACGTAATTATTTAATAAATTTGAAGCAAATTATAACTTAGAATATATTATTTAAAGTCTGTACTTATAATATCTTAATGAAAATTATTATTTGTTTAAAAAAATTAATAATAATAATTCGGCTCTTCATTAAACTCACTCAACAGAAAATTATAGAAATCTGTTTAATATGTTAAAAGAAATTTGCTTAATNAACTTAAATTCATTTGAAAACATTTTATCTGCACATAAATCAGAACTGTAATAATTTAAAAAGTTTTGAATAATAATTATTGATTTATTAAGGCTTTATTGATGAACAATTCTAATTTGTTGAAAATTTTGAAAAATATTTCTATTACAGTAAATTAGGAATCATCTCAACATTATTTATGAGATAAAAATACAGACTTTAATTAAGTTTTTCAAAATTAAAATTGTTATTATAAATCGAATTATGAAAAAATCTATATGCATTTTTTATACGTAGTAATTTATACGAAAATAATTTAAATTTATAAGAAAATCTTTCTAGAAATTACTTTTAAAAAGCATATTTTAATATATAATTTTATAAAAAAATTATAAAATATGTGTAATATATTAAACCAGAATATTTAAAATCAAATGTTTTTGGACCTAAGATTTAATTAATGTTTGCTTATGAAAATATATTGTTTTACATACATATATACGATTTAAGCGTAAACTCCAGAATCTAACTTACAAAGGCAATGATGTTAGTTCTCTATCACCGTGTAGTCCATTAACTGACTAAAGAATTCAATAAATCCGCCTTGCAATAATCCATTTGAATCCCTATTCTCAAACAGTAAACCTGTTCAGGTAAACAAGAGTTTCGTTGTGGGGAGGATGTTAGTCAGGTAGGATCATATCTGTAGGGGGCACCCGGTTCCTGGTTATTTATATACTGCACTACCACAGAGACATATTTCACTGGAGATAGTCACCTAGGTCAAGTCCTCCTGTTGACAGGGGTCACTGCAATGCTTCACAACCTCCAGTTTTTTGGTATGTGGAATATGCTCTTTATATTCTTCCCGTTAAGTCCGATGACAGATTATGCCCACGGGCCTTTGTCATACTAAAGGGGGATTCATTTGCATAGTGCTATTATCTGTGCTTTAGATTTCTCTCGAATTATCACGCAACAGGGTCAGCTACCTTGGTCTTTCACGTATGAGGGTGGGGCACGTGCTTCCCACGTTCTCATGGCAACTTTCACTATCAATGGTTTCGACGCCTGCTTTACAACCCTGAGGCAGTATGGTACATCTCAGTCAACTTGGATATACCTACTTATATAGTAGCCGAGGTACTAGAGTTAGGTTGAAGATATGCTGAAAGGTTGTTGACAGTTTAGAGGTGGTCCTGGGACCTTCTGTCTCCACACCTTATCATCCATTAGCGCATGTGACGTCACTCCAGACTAGAAATGAAAATATTCAAGGATAATTCGCTAGACTTTCCTGAAGATGACAATAAAACCACGTCGAAACTCAATAAGTAATTTTAAAACTTTCTATTAAAATGTCACATGTGACATGACAAAGCATAATTCATATACAACTCAATCTCCACTGATGGAAATTTATATAAACAATAATAATGTAATCTATTTTTAAAACAAATGATTATTTTAAATACATTGTGATACATCTTATCGTACAACGAATCAAACTCTAGTTCAGAATTAATGGAAAGTAATAATAATTAACATCTATAATTAAAATCTGAAATTAGCCAAATTAATTGGTATGTGTTTAGAAATTATTTAATAAATTTTTATAATAACTTTTAAAAAATTATTCGATAAATTAACGTAAGTGCTGAAAGATCTTATGATTATACTAACATAAAATAATTTTTTTAAAATTAATACAGCTTACAGCCAACACCACTTAGTGCATAGGCCTATAACTTATTAAAATCTAAAATAAAGACTAAAAATGATGTTTTTTTACAAAGCAATTATTTGGATTACCACTTCATATTGTAAATGTAGGTACTGTACACGTTAAGCTTCCAAGACAAAACTTGCATTCTAATTAAAGTAACTTAAAAATAAATATTTATTTACTTAGAAAGATATCATGCCAGCAAAAGACTACAATTTTTGGAATGTTTATAAACATATAATACATCTAATTCTATAGACCTAAATATGTCATAAATTTATCCAAACAAAACTCAAAATTTAGAGTTACAGCTAAACATTAGTCATTATTATAGTAATTACGCCCATGACAATAAAAGTGATTTTGTTTTCTTTGAAATTTTATAAGTGGGAGAGACAACATAAAATAGGACTACTCTCACCTAGTAGTTAAGAGGATATTTAAGAGGGTAGGGAATATCTTTAAGCAGAGAAAGTGACAGAGCGCAGTTGTCCCTGTCTAGTAACTCTGCAGATAAGATAATTTCCTTGTCTGGTTTTTGTTGCCTTTCTGCAAAACACACTGAATCCTAAGATGGAAATCTTTATGACTAGCTTTATTGCGGACTCTAGGTACGTCTTTAAATTTGTTTTTGTGTCATTCCATTCGAGCATTTCTAATTTTTAATCAAAATTTTATTTTGTGCGCTTCTGTCATTTTATTTCGAGGAATTGAATTAAACGTCTTAATTTTCTAATTCGATATTCTATGAGAATTGATTCTTATTCCTCTTCTTTCAGGTTAAATTTCTTTGAATTATTGTTAGAAACAAAGAAAAATTTGTTTTTTTAAGTAAAAAATAAAATATAAATTAAGCTTTATATATTTTTAAAATAAATTTAAATCTAATTTACTTATTAATAAAACCTTATTAAACTTTGCTAATATATTAAAGTCAACTTCTGTTTAATTCTAAGTTATTAAGAGATTATCGATTTTAAAATAATTAATAATAAAAACTGATAAATAAATTACACGATTATGTGACTTAAAATATTTTAATTATCAAATTTTAATAGAAAATTTATTTATTTCAGATACCTTTCATCATTTCTAATATAATAAATGTGTTGTTGTCTTATTAAAAGTATCTGTCTTACTGAAAATTTAATTAAATAATATTAAGTTTATTTAAATAATCAGCCAGTGTTTTTTAT